AAAAGAAATCACACGACCGAAGCAAAAAAGTTATCTTCCACTATATATGCGCTTGACATTTGTGACGACACACAGAGCAGTCACCGGGAAAACACCATAAAAAATATCCGGCGAAAACGCCGGTTTAATCTATGGCGGACGAGAATCAAGAAGAAACCCTAAAAATGAAACCAATAAAAAAACCACCACACTTTGTGCTAATACATGGCATGAGCTTAGGATCATGGTGCTGGTACAAGATCAAGTGTCTCATGGAAGTCTCTGGCTTTACCGTCACTTGCATCGACCTCAAATCCTCCGGTATCGATTCTTCCTCCGCCGATTCTCTCACTTCCTTCGACCAATACAATCGACCACTCATCGACTTCCTCTCCTCCTTGCCCGAACAAGAACAGGTAAAACCAACACCACAAACAAAAACCTAATTCAACTGATTCTTGAATCTGAAGCAAACTCACTCTGTTTTCTCTGTTCTCTGTTTTTCTCATCAGGTGATACTTGTGGGTCATAGTGCAGGAGGGCTTAGTGTAACGAGCGCGATACATAGGTTCCCTAAGAAGATCTGTCTCGCTTTTTACGTCGGAGCTTCGATGCTTGAATTCGGGTTTCAGACCGATCAAGATTTGAAAGATGTAATTACAAAACAAGTTCTTTATAAGAAAATGAAGTTTAGCTTGTGCGTGACGTTATGTTATTTGTCACAGGGAGTGCCTGAACTATCAGAACATGGTGATGTCTATGAGCTCGTTTTCGGTTTAGGACCCGAAAATCCTCCGACCAGTGCTCTTATCAAACCGGAATTCCGACGAAAACTCCTTTTCAACATGAGTCCTCAACAGGTTTTTCTCTCTGTTTCACTTCATATAATGGCTCAAAGATCCAAGATAAAATGTGTGTTTAGGGGTTATTAGTGCTTAGTGGATATTCAAAGATTTTGTGATATTTATGATTTGTTTCTTGATGTCCGGCTCAACACTTTTTTGGGGTCTCTATCCGCTCTAGAACTAAACGAATATTTGGTGTTTAGATGTCATGTTAACATGTAAATATTCCAAAAGCTCTCGAAAGAGGATAAATAAAAATGAACATTTCATAAATATAATTTACAATGTTCATAATTTTAAAATTTCAGTCGCTATACGATTAATTTGAGTTTTAATCTATAGTAACTACAG